TTGTTTTTAATTTAATAATAATATATCGTAATGTAAAAATAAATCATTAGACGCCTATAATTACTAAATTAATATCTTAAAACTCACTCAAAAGATAACCTTAAATTAATGTTTTCTACAGTGAAAAAAGTATGGACACTTTTATAAAAAGGATAGATACTTTACAACTACCTATTACATTATATAAACGATACCTATTACATTATATAAGCGCTACCTATTACATCATATTTTTACCTATTATATTGAAAGTGTCCATACTTTTTATAAAAAGGATCGACACTTTTTTTTAAAGTTATGTAATTTATGTTTCAATTTTTTTTAATAGTGTTTCATGTTTTCCACCTACAATATTAATTTAATAATTTCATTTACACAAAAAATTATTTGATTGTTTTGATATTTTATAAAATAATATTTAGAATTTAAATTTAACAATATTAACCAAAGATAATAATAAATATGTAATATATGTTTATTGTTTTTAATTTAATAATAATATATATCGTAACGTAAAAAATAAATCATTAGACGCCTATAATTACTAAATTAATATCTTAAAACTCACTCAAAAGATAACCTTAAATTAATGTTTTCTACAGTGAAAAAAGTATGGACACTTTTATAAAAAGGATAGATACTTTACAACTACCTATTACATTATATAAACGATACCTATTACATTATATAAGCGCTACCTATTATATCATATTTTTACCTATTATATTGAAAGTGTCCATACTTTTTATAAAAAGGATCGATACTTTTTTTTAAAGTTATGTAATTTATGTTTCAATTTTTTTAATAGTGTTTTATGTTTTCCACCTACAATATTAATTTAATAATTTCATTTACACAAAAAATTATTTGATTGTTTTGATATTTTATAAAATAATATTTAGAATTTAAATTTAACAATATTAACCAAAGATAATAATAAATATGTAATATATATGTTTATTGTTTTTAATTTAATAATAATATATATCGTAATGTAAAAAATAAATCATTAGACGCCTATAATTACTAAATTAATATCTTAAAACTCACTCAAAAGATAACCTTAAATTAATATTTTCCACAGTGAAAAAAGTATGGACACTTTTATAAAAAGGATAGATACTTTACAACTACCTATTACATTATATAAACGATACCTATTACATTATATAAGCGCTACCTATTACATCATATTTTTACCTATTATATTGAAAGTGTCCATACTTTTTATAAAAAGGATCGATACTTTTTTTAAAGTTATGTAATTTATGTTGCAATTTTTTTTAATAGTGTTTCATGTTTTCCACCTACAATATTAATTTAATAATTTCATTTACACAAAAAATTATTTGATTGTTTTGATATTTTATAAAATATTATTTAGAATTTAAATTTAACAATATTAACCAAAGATAATAATAAATATGTAATATATATGTTTATTGTTTTTAATTTAATAATAATATATATCGTAATGTAAAAAATAAATTATTAGACGCCTATAATTACTAAATTAATATCTTAAAACTCACTCAAAAGATAACCTTAAATTAATGTTTTCCACAGTGAAAAAAGTATGGACACTTTTATAAAAAGGATAAATACTTTACAACTACCTATTACATTATATAAATGATACCTATTACATTATATAAGTGCTACCTATTACATCATATTTTTACCTATTATATTGAAAGTGTCCATACTTTTTATAAAAAGGATCGATACTTTTTTTAAAGTTATGTAATTTATGTTTCAATTTTTTTAATAGTGTTTCATGTTTTCCACCTACAATATTAATTTAATAATTTTATTTACAAAAAAAATTATTTGATTGTTTTGATATTTTATAAAATAATATTTAGAATTTAAATTTAACAATATTAACCAAAGATAATAATAAATATGTAATATATATATTTTTTGTTTTTAATATAATAATAATATATATCGTAACGTAAAAAATAAATCATTAAACGCCTATAATTACTAAATTAATATCTTAAAACTCACTCAAAAGATAACCTTAAATTAATGTTTTCCACAATGAAAAAAGTATGGACACTTTTATAAAAAGGATAGATACTTTACAACTACCTATTACATTATATAAACGATACCTATTACATTATATAAGCGCTACCTATTATATCATATTTTTACCTATTATATTGAAAGTGTCCATACTTTTTATAAAAAGAATCGATACTTTTTTTAATGTTATGTAATTTATGTTTCAATTTTTTTTAATAGTGTTTCATGTTTTCCACCTACAATATTAATTTAATAATTTTATTTACAAAAAAAATTATTTGATTGTTTTGATATTTTATAAAATAATATTTAGAATTTAAATTTAACAATATTAACCAAAGATAATAATAAATATGTAATATATATATTTATTGTTTTTAATATAATAATAATATATATCGTAACGTAAAAAATAAATCATTAAACGCCTATAATTACTAAATTAATATCTTAAAACTCACTCAAAAGATAACCTTAAATTAATGTTTTCTACAGTGAAAAAAGTATGGACACTTTTATAAAAAGGATAGATACTTTACAACTACCTATTACATTATATAAACGATACCTATTACATTATATAAGCGCTACCTATTATATCATATTTTTACCTATTATATTGAAAGTGTCCATACTTTTTATAAAAAGAATCGATACTTTTTTTAAAGTTATGTAATTTATGTTTCAATTTTTTTAATAGTGTTTCATGTTTTCCACCTACAATATTAATTTAATAATTTCATTTACACAAAAAATTATTTGATTATTTGATATTTTATAAAATATTATTTAGAATTTAAATTTAACAATATTAACCAAAGATAATAATAAATATGTTTTCCACAGTGAAATAAGTATGGACACTTTTATAAAAATGATATATACTTTTTTTAAAGTTATGTAATTTATGTTTCAAATTTTTTAATAGTGTTTGATGTTTTCCACCTACAATATTAATTTAATAATTTCATTTACACAAAAAATTATTTGATTTTTTGATATTTTATAAAATATTATTTAGAATTTAAATTTAACAATATTAACCAAAGATAATAATAAATATGTTTTCCACAGTGAAATAAGTATAAACACTTTTATAAAAATGATATATACTTTTTTTAAAGTTATGTAATTTATGTTTCAATTTTTTTTAATAGTGTTTCATGTTTTCCACCTACAATATTAATTTAATAATTTCATTTACACAAAAAATTATTTGATTGTTTTGATATTTTATAAAATATTATTTAGAATTTAAATTTAACAATATTAACCAAAGATAATAATAAATATATTTTCACAGTGAAATAAGTATGGACACTTTTATAAAAAGGATAGATATTTTACAATATAACAAGTAAAAATATGACAAAACCAGATTCATTATGATAAAACCGGTAAAATTTACTTGATATGTTAAAAGTATGGACACTTTTATAAAAAGGATAGATACTTACCGATAACCAAAGTTTACCGGTTACCAAATTTTTTAATAGTTTTTCATATTTTCTACCTAAAACATTATTAGTTGTCAACATAATAGGTACCGCTAAACCGAATTTATTAAATACATTTTAATGTATCCGGTACTGCCGTATATTAGCCGTATATTAACCCGCCTTTCCTGAGACAATCCCTTGAAATCTATAGGGGTGGCTTTTAAAGAAAGGCCGTAAAAATTTACTGTGTCATTTTGTGTTTTGAATAAATGAAATTTATGCATCAACTCTTTGACTGTAATAATTCTGGCAATATATTGACACGTGTTTAAGGTTCAATGAAGGTCTGGTTCATTAATTAATCGATTGCTTTGAAGCAAGGGTAAAAAGAAATTGCTGTTGTCTTACTCATCCATTAAACTAATCTGGATGTTAACCTTTCAATTATAGTTTCGTTGAGCTTAAGAGAGATTTGCTGAGTACTAGTCATTTGGGCAAAACTTCCGTACAAAAAATGCAGAAAACCATTAACCAAGAGGAAAGGCCGTGTTTCATTCGAAGAGACAACTGCTCCTAACGTGGCTGCAACAATCAATTATATTTATAATGATATTGTGATTTCCAAAGACACGCTTAGAAAATTTAGCTGTATCAGATTCCAAGATCATGTATGTCAGAAGCAGTTTGAATATTATATACCCCCCCCCCCCCAACACAAAAGGGAAAGAAAATTTGTTAGCAGATTGAGAGGAAGACATCGTTGAAATCAGATTGAATGCCAGAAATATTTTTAAGATATGGCTATGCATGTGGGCGTCACGAAATATCCATCATAATTGCTTGACAGTTATGAAAAGATACGTTTCTGGTTATGAACCAAATAAAATGAATGATTCTTTGGTGTTTAACTTTTAATCCCCCCCGGGGGGTGAACCAGCCTTGAAGAATTAGCATGGTTGTGATAAGGTAGAAAACCATGGGGAAAGTTTAATTTTTCTAAAAAAAAAATTGTGAACAGTAGAAGCATATATATATTTGTCCTTCTCCGGCCTCTTCTGTTTTTTCACCGCGACTTATGAAAGAGTGCTGTATATTTTCTTTCACGGGGCAGCCCTAAAAACATACATATAAAGTACCTGAGTTCCCCACTTTACTCTCAACAACAAAGCAGCCAACACCCCCCGACAACAAATATTATCTCAAGTATCAATCTTGTCCTTCTCAACCAAACTAACAAGGCCACCACCCAACATTTTTTTTATGTCCTGAGTCGATTCTTTGTTGTTTTGTTTGTCTTTCAACACCCATATCGTTTCGCCCTTTGGCTTTGGGAGGTTCTTATTAGTTCCATTTCAGGGCTCTCCTCCACCATCTCTTCCATTCCCTTTAGAACCATCTTATCTTCATTCTCTCCTCTCCATCTGCATTTTCTTTGCCTTTTCTCTTCCTTATTTACTAAAAAAGGGTTGCTGAATCTCTGTTGAGTTTTTTTAAACTCTTATTTTCCATGTTTCTCCATTTCTGAAAAAGAGATATCAAGTTTCGCCCTTTGGCTTAGGGAGGTTCTTATTAGTTCCATTTCAGGGCTCTCCTCCACCATCTCTTCCATTCCCTTTAGAACCCTCTTATCTTCATTCTCTCTTCTCCGTCTGCATTTTCTTTGCCTTTTCTCTTCCTTATTTACTAAAAAAGGGTTGCTGAATCTCTGTTGAGTTTTTCTTTTTTAAACTCTTATTTTCCATGTTTCTCCATTTCTGAAAAAGTGATAGCAAACAAGAGGAAGCATGGAACCTTGCATCAATGCTTGGAGGAGATGACTGGAATTTTTTAGGTATATTAAAGTTTATTTTTTTACACGTAAAAGATATAGCTTTCATATATTTATCATCATAATTTGCCTTGGTTCCAAAGATAGATACCAACCTTGTTTCACGGGTAATATAATTCCTCAAATCACATGTAATTACTCCTCTGATACGCTGCAGCTTTTTGTCCTTTTGTATTGTTTTTGGTGATTATATATATATATATATATATATATATATATATATATATATATAAGGGGGGTTAAAGCGACAAACCTCAAGTACAACTACTTTCCAGGAGCCAAAAGTACAATCTCTTCTCCTTTATCTAGAGGTTCCTTCAACATTCAATCATTCTTTGAACCGGCTACTCGATTGTGTTCCTAGTCCATTATCATGGTTACCAAGATGAAAGGGATCTACAAAGGTTTCAAATTCATCTCTCAAATCTTTGGTGAGTCCCTTCTCTGTCTCTTCCTATATAACATCCCAGAAATGTATGTATGTATGCATTTGAGCATGTTTCCTGGGTTAATTTTGTGATTGTTTTATGGATTTTGATTGCTGTGGAACTGAGGTGGGAAAGGGTATTGTTGTTGTAGTTGTGAAGGAGCGAGAGATGGAAATTGGGTATCCGACAGATGTCAAACATGTGGCTCACATTGGTTGGGATGGCATTTCTGGCTCTGCACCCAGTTGGGTATGTTATTGTCAACTATCTCTACTCCGTTCAATATTTTGATTGAAGCCTCTTGTGTTCATCTCTTACTTTTTGAGCTTATGCAGATGAATGAATTCAAGACAGACCCTGATTTCAGAGCAACATCAATTGGCAACTCCAGAGATTCTAATCCTACATGGTCCTCTGAAGGCATGTTTTCTCTCAATTTACCTTTTCTTGATATGGTGAATGTTCTCAAAGTGATGCATGATTTAGATGAAATAAGATATAATATGCAATATAGAGAATAGTAGGCAAAAGCCAAGGATTTCTTTATTTACATATACTACAAAATCATGTATCCCTTAAGCAGTGTCAGTTACCATATGGACAATTCTTAAATAAGAGTAAGACAAGCGAAAATAGGGCCATTTCACGGGTCTCATTGACAAGGGGAAATGCATTTTATATCTCAGTTTTATTTAAGCCAAGTTTCCAGGACGAAAGTTTTTTAGTTTATTTGCCCCTTTGGCTCTTCTGTCACGGGACAAAAACTGCAATATCAAGGGGAACCTATATGCTAGTTGCTACTAAAAAATCATTCCTGTGGTCCCTTGCAATAATTTTAATGGCCTCAATTCTATAGAGATATGTCTTCTGATGAGGTCTTTCATTGTTTAATTACAGATTTCGAGCAATCAATGGGATGCCAACCTGCAACAGAGATGATGAGGAACCTGTCTGGCACGGATATCCCAAATATTCCTAGGAAACAAAAGAGAAAAAAGAAGACAACTTGCTCTCCCAAGTGATACATTTTGTGGCTTTTGATTTCTGCTCATCAGTGATCGATATAGAAGTTCCTTTTAGTATTCAAGATATGAATGAAGATCAGAAAGAAGTGCTAGGATTTGAACCAAAAGCTAGTGTAAATTTGAAAATCCTATTTAATTTACAAAAGGTTAAAGTAAATTAGGTGTGGAACTAAAAGGAACGATCCAAGTCCAAGGACGTGACTTACCTAATGGCAGAAAAAAGTTTATCGTTTACTGCGAGTAATGGTGCTGCTAGACTTAGTTGTATTGAGTTGTGTCGGTGGAAAGTTTTGATAATTCAGATTATTGGCTCCGACAAGTTTGTAAAGGAATCTAACTTTTCAAGTTATGGATGAAATGACTATTTATTTTATGTGCCGACTTCCTAGTTTATTTAATACAGTTTTGTGTGTGTGTGGAAGTAATTACCTTCGGGCAAGAGCATTTTCTTCTTGGCATGGGAAGAGGATGCAGTGAAATTCTGATACCAATGTATATTATGAGCATTGATCATAAACGATCCAGGGATTGTGTTCTATATGGACAAGATGCTCCCGGAACCCTCTTAAGTGTTGGGAGACAAAATCCTGGAACTAAAATCGCAGCACTCCCAAAAAGCAGTACTTTATTGGTTGTTGGGAATTCTTACCGAAGTCTGGGAGAACCAACTTATAAACTTTATTAATGCACTTGCTCAAGAACAATAATTAAGCTAAAGGGAAGCCGGGGTGTAGAATAATCACATACTATAGGAAATGGTGATGAGGTATGGCCCACAGATGTTTTTTCTGATGGAAACGAAGAATAGAGTGTTTTCTGGGAAGGATGAAGATTAGGATGAGATGGTCTGATTGTTGCTATGTAGATTCAGAAGGTTTGGTGTACTAGTGTTGGAGAGGTATAAGAATATTATTGGCATAGTGATGGAGAGTGATGATTTGGGGTATGTTTGTAGGGTGTTCTGGGTATATGAGCCACCTGATTTTGCAGAGAGGCGGGTTGTTTGGAGATAAATATGTGAACAGGCTAGAGGGATTAATACTCCATGGGTATGTATAGGGAATAATACTCCAACAGGCTAGAGTGAGGAGTTCAGGTTGATTCTTTTTGTTGCTTGTGTAATGCAGAGAAAGAGTCCGCAGATCATTTATTTTTGGAGTTGTTCTGATTCCAAGAAACTGTGGTGTTCAAGATGAATTACAGAATCATTTGGATTGGATGATAAAGAACCAAAGGGGATAAACTGGTTTCCGCTATTTGAGAATTCCTTGGGGGTGTCTATATATTTGATATCGCATGAAAGAAACAAAAGGGTGTAGTTTCAAATAGTCATATGTATAGTCTAGTATGGATTGGCAAATACAGAAGTTGATCTATCAACCAAAAATAAATAAACATAAACGTTGAAACATGGGTGAATATATTATGGAGATACTTATGTGCTGTCATGACCTTTTGCCGAGGGCATACATAGTACCATTTAATGGTCTTCCGGCGTTTAATAAAATGGTACAGTGGTGGGTCGATTCGTTAAGACATGTTTTACAGCTCACAATATCAGAAAAATGAAGTTTTCATACATTGCAGAATCTGCATCAATCTTCTCACAACCCTAAAAACTTTGCTTCCTCTGCCACACTATTACCTCATAGGAAAAGGGTCAAGGTTCTTTTTTTTTCTAACAAAATTTTTTCTCTCTTTTTGTTATTTTGATCTGCTGGGGTTGGGTGAAGAGTCGATTAAGTTGCTGCTCTCTAACCTTTTATCATCTTCTGGCTTCCCCAATCTATGGACTTGCCTGCAAGTTTGGCACTAAAATTCTAAGCCCCCTTGTAAACAGAAATGAGACCTTTCACAACATGAGTGACACGTACCTTAAAATGACTGTTTATCCTCATCCAATTGCATACAATTTAAGCCATTGTGGATCTCCACCAGGGAGATCTGGCTTCATAAGAGTGCTCACCATCATCCCATGAAATTTGACATGCTTGCAGACCAATGGCAACACTTGGCTCTTTCCCAAACTGGGCAATCCACTTTGTGACAGCCATTTCTTTATCACTCTCACCAGTGTACTCCTTGTATTTTCCAAATGGGTTTAGCCCTGGGTTTGCAATCTCTGCAATAGCAGCTGGCATGTACATCGAATCACCCACTATTGGAGCCCCAAAGGCAGCCAGTTGTGCACGAACCTGCATCAAATGTTTAGCAGTTTTTAAAGTCGGAGCTTTAGTACCATGACAATTCCATTGGAAGTTTGTTTTTTTTGCTCCTGCCTACTAATTTAAGTGCCATAAACTAGCACCTAAATGAAGGTTGATGGATGCAGAAATGGACTTGAATAATTCAGAAACAATTCTAATTGTAGCCGAATTATCAGGAACCAACAAACTAGGGGTGTAAACGAGCCAAGTCGAGCTCGAGTATTGCTGAGCTCGACTCGAAAACTCTAAAATGGAACTCGACTCGATTTGAAAACACGCGAGCTTAAAATTTTTAAGCTCGACTCGAACTCGAAATCCTAAACTGAAGCTCGTGAGCAGCTCGAAATGAAAAAAAAAAAATTCTTAAACTTAATTAGATTGAAGCCTCAAACTCGAACCTAAACCTTAAATACATGAAAGTCTTACTGTATTTTTTTTAAAAATCAACATAAAAATGTTAATATTATTAATAATTTATTTTTAAAAAAATAAAATCTTAATATATTATATTTTCGAACTGCTCAAGAGCTTTTCGAGTCGAATATCAAGTAGCTCATTTCGGCTCGTTAAGAATTCGATTCGAGCTCGAGCTCGAGTCGAGTCCATTCGATCCGAGTATTTATCGAGCCTTAACCGAGTCGATCTCGAGTAGCTCGCGATATGTCTCGTCTTATTTACAGCCCTACAACAAACTCCATTTCCCCAAGGTTTAGGATTTTTTTATTTCTAAACCATGATAATCTAAACAAAATATTTGCTTAATATTAGGAACCAGTAATAATCTCTAAAAGGAAGAGCATGCTCCGAAACATATGGCCATAGGGTACTTTGATTATCTTTTGAATGCCGCCATGAATGAAGGGGAAATGATAATAAGAAAGACTGAACGTCAAGTTAACTTAGAAGATTGCAGAAAGAAATAATTTAATAACCTGATGAGTTCGACCAGTCAAAAGATTTATTTTATACTCATAAGCATGATCTGTCAAAGGCCAACCAGAGTCTTCAATACAGTAGTTTTCTTGAATGACAGAATCTGGCCAGGGAACCTCCATACATTCCATAACCTCAAGCTGACACAAGTACCAACCTTTAACGAAGTCTGCAAGCCATATTACAAATGTGGAAATAGGGTCGACAAAAAATGGAAATGAACAAATGGCAGGAGTGACAATGTAAAAATATATTGAGAAAAGTAGGGAGTGAAATCTCCATGCACTTGTAGAAATCATGTAATAAGCAAAAGAATTTTCACACATCCAATGACAAGCCTATGTAAAAAGAATGCAATTATTTTCTACTTCTAATGAAGTAGCTTTTATACAGAAACTGCGTGCTCGTGTCAACTAATAAAATGAAAAGAGGAGAAAGAGTGAGACATCATTAGGTCAGACAGGAGCAATACAGAGTATAATGAATCTTTATTTTCCATGTTTTTCTCTCGTTCTTAGAGTTTTGGGTTTAGTTGATGATTAACTAGCATAATCAAAATGCTTAGGAGACCGTATTACCTTCTGAGACTAGTCTAGGAGCCATATTGATTGGCCGCATATAGTGTGTTATTATTCCAATTGGTACAGGAGCAGCGGTGAGAGCAAGATATAGTTTTTTTACCTTTTTCTCCTGTCGTAATAAAACCAGACTAGTTAATCTAAGAACAAAGTGAACAAATATTCATTTGCTAAGTTAAATTTATAAACACTCATAGATAGTTAATCAGTTAATCTATTACCTTTGGAAAAACATAACTTCACAGAATACTATGAGCTGAAGCTCTGAAATGGAACTACCTTTCTCAAATTATACAAACCTATTAGAAACTTACTCTGATTTTCCCATGAAAAACTGAGCAATACTCCTTAGTCCTAGCTAATACAACACTGCAAGTGAATTACTAGTTATTACTTATCATAAAAACAAATGATGGAAATAAATTCATAAGAAAAAAGTCTATAATCAACCGCAAGATACAATACCAGCCTTCTGTGCAATTATCTATCTGATGAGTAGTCTTCAATGGGGTGGAAAATCCCAAGGAACGACTAGCAAATGTTGCGCAACTTTCTTCTATATTGTCGGTAGTTCCTCCAACCTAGCAAGTTGAGACATAATATAGATGTTATAATTCATCCACAGCTCAGATTCGCAAACAGTGAATTTGAGCATACATTAACAAAATGACTTTTCAGAGTTCAAATCACAATTGAAGAAGTAAACAAAGCAATCACATACAGATGTACCAGCAGGTTTGTCCAAAACCACATAGGAGTCGGTTGTTGCTATGATTCTCGATCTCCAGTCAATTTCATAACACCTGATATACAGACAAGTGTCAGAAACATTACAGTGAAAAATAAAATAACAAGTGTAAATAGGAGTGTTTGACCTCGGAAAACATTTGGGATGTACATGCATACGCAAGTATGTTCCAGCCTCAACAAACTGCTCAACATGAGTTATACGGAAAGTCTTTTGTGCCTCTCGCACAGTTTTTCCCTTAATGGATGTTCTTTTACTCAAAACTGACGGTGCTGTTACTTCTTTAAATATCCTAATTTGCTCGGGGGTGGCAGTAGGAGGAGGCTGCGGACACACGAGGGCATAATATACAGCTCAAAAATGGATGAGATCTGCAACAAACCCTCAAAGAATGAAATTTTGAAATATATCACTCTGTTCTTATTAATTAAAGATGAGTGCATAACAGCATAAATCACATAGTTTAAAATAAAATAAATAAAAAGGATAATAACTTACAGAGGAGGAAGATCCAGTGCTTTACAGATATACTCGAGAACAGGCCCTCCTTCTGAAACAACTAAGTGTTCTACTCTTGGCGGGCCATTGTCTGAGGGGCATGGGAGTAACCGGTCATATTTGGGATAGCTGCACAAGGGAAATGAATCTCAATTACAAAACATATAATTAACATAAAGAAAAGTTTGAACAAAAGGGAAAATAAGGATAAGCTCAATATAGCACTACAAATAACAAACTATGATAGAGAAACCTAAAAAGTTAGCCAAACTGTGACGAAATAAGCACACCAAAAAAAAAAAAAACCCCACCGTTCATAGCAATTTCATTTGAGATACCAAACTATTCGTAGGAAGTCGTAATACAACTAAACCCAAGAAGCCTCCATGCCTTTTCAAAGAGAACCACTTTTTGAGTTAGCTAACTTAGCTTCACATTTCTAACCCCGAAAGATATATTTTTCTCCTCTCAAAGCAGATACCCAGAAACCAAAAAAAAAAAAGCAAACCAAAAGAAGCTGAATCACCCATTAACAGAAGAAGTTGCTGCTGTTTGGACAACATCCACTCTGGAAGAAAAAAAAGAAAGCTCTCTCTTGCTTGAACTCCAACAATATAAAATCGCACTCTTGCTATTGCTCTTGTAATGCTTATATAAAGAAGAAGACGCTAACGTTCTAAGGGAGGAGACAGGAGCGCTGAGACTCCGGTAGCCATTGCTGAAGATTGAAGCTAAGCCTGCTGAAGCTGAACCCAAATTCATGGTTTAGCAGTGCCTAGTATTGGCTTTGGTTTTTCATTGTCGAGGGTTTGAGTTAAGACTATTCGGGAATTTGGGTCGGTGTTGAGTGATTGAGCCCATTGTTTTTCAATCAACTTCTTCCGGAAACTTTTGGCTCAATTTCCCATTTTCCAGTATAATCCAAAGGTATATATTATATAAATGGTTTATTCTATAAACTGATATATATATTTGAATTCGTATCTTAAATTAAATTTTAATTTTAATAATTTTTAAATATTATATGTATTGATTCAATATCTTAAAATAAAAAAAATTAATATCCATATCATGTGTCATAATTTTTTATTCTTGAAATATTATTTAGTAGTTTACTTTTCTAAAAAAATTACATATTAATCTGAAAATATTTTTAAAAATATTAACTTGCATAAAATAAATTAAATATCAATGTAAAAAACATATTTTTTTGAGGAAACAGTATGGACTATTATTGCCATATAAACAAATTATACGCACATGGGAAACCATTAAAAACAACCCTAACCCTGCTACATGACACAACCAGAAGAGAAGGGTTGATCAGCTGCCAGCAACCTGGTTGCAAAGTCAGGTGGATGCGCCTCCCATGTATGTGTAGAACCCGACATGAACCCTCTCGAGCAATAGCATGAGCCACCGTATCACCCGAGCGACTAACATGCTGAAACGAATAGTGATCAAACAAGCAAGCAAGTTGGCGGATTTGATGTATGAGAGACCCCCTAAAAGAGTAATCTACAGAAGAACCCCCCGCTCTAGAAATAACAGAGCGAGTCATCCTCAATCACAAACATTCTGCCGCCCGTTGCACGAGGATGAAAAACACCTTCCAAGCATGCCCATGTCTCCACATGAAAAGCATCCATAGCATGAGGGACAAAGCGAGCCACCGCTGAAGGAAAAGCATCTGCAGTATCTTGCAAAACCACACCAATGACCCGCGTGTCAACTGATCTGCACAGTTACGGTACTGTCTGCTCGATTAGTACATTTGTTGCATTTATAAAGCCATTAACCATTTTAATAATGTTACTTTCGTTTATGTTTGTGAAAATATAGATTTTTTCGAGATGTATAATAATAAAGATATCAAAATGCAAAAATAGTTGGACAAAAATGGATACAACAGTTAAATCAAATTGTGCAACTTATACTGAAGAAGAACATACTGATTAACCTATTGATGATGAGAAACATATAGAGGATGAGAAGATAATTGACAACTTCATTGACGAAAGCACATATGATAAGATTGGGAAGGAATTAAAAGATTACGATTATAATGATATGAATATGTTGAAGTGGAAAACTTTAGATGATTGCATTGAATTTTATCATACATGTTCAGGTGAAAGGTTTTGGAGTTCATGTCGATTAGACAGTGAAAAGTCGAAATAGTGGTCACATAATTACAAAGAAAATGGTATGTCGTAAGAAGAGATATAGATAGGATAGGTGGACTAACCTGCGAAATAGAAAATGTGAACAAATACATGTCATCTGAGTTGGGTGTGCAGCATTTATTAGATTCAAATTTGATTAACGCTATCAAATTTGGAAAGTTGCTAAATTCCATGTAGAACATAACTATGAAATGGTTCGGCTAACACATGTTGCTTACATCAAGTATGTAATTAATCCAAAAGTAAATTGTTACATATTATCTTCTATCTAATATATATGTATCTATTGTTCTTTAATAACTTATTTTGTATGTCATTCCGAAAAATTAATGGGTTAGACCGAATTAAGATTAAAAGCATGCACAACTATGGAATTGGTCCAAGTAAGATGATGCGAATTTTTGTGAATGAAGTTGATTCAATTGAGAATGTTGGATTTCTACCAAAGGATTTGTACAATTCTCTACATAGAATCAAGCGAGAAGAAATGCAAGATTGTTATGTTGAAATGGTGATGACCTATTTATATGGAAAGTAATAATCTGGTTCGTTCTTTTTTAGAGGCACACGGGGGATGAATTTGGAAACTTAGAGAAGTTATTCTAGGTCGATGGTATATCACGCACATACTATAAAGAATTTGGGCATGTTCTTGCATTTGACACGACTTACATGGACAACGTATACAACAAGCCGTTCGTTGTTTTGGTTGGTGTTAATAATCATCGAAACACAGTGCCATTTGGATGTACATTGGTTGTAAATGAGAAAGAGGATATCTATGTATGGGTGTTACAACAATTGATTGAAGCTGGAAATGGCCACAGACCTCTTACTGTTATTACTGATAAAGATAAGGCCATGGCAAATGCCATTATTGAGGTACTACCCGGGGAAAACATAGATTGTGTTTATGGCATATCATGAGGAATGTACAGTCTTATACTGATCACAGTTTTCTGGATGAATTTTTGAAATGCGTTAACAAGTGTAGAACTAAATCATATTTTAAAAGGGGTTGGAAAGAATTAGTAAACAAACACAAAGTTGAAGGAATGAGATGGGTTCAAGAAATGTATGAAGATAAATAGAAACATGCAGAAGCATATTTGCAAGGATATTTTTATGTAGGTAACATTATATAGACTTGATTTGTATTGAATATGATATTTATTTATTGTATTTTACAAATATATATTTTGGTGTGCAACAATGAGGATTACTCAACAGTGCGAGTCAATGAATAGAACATTTGAAAACTTGGTTGGACATAAATGTAATGTTGTATTGATTTGTTGAGAATTATCATAAACAACAACAAACTCTAAGATGGGAGGAAGGTCATCAAGACTACAAAACAAATGATGAACAATTGTATTGTGGCGGTGTGTTGGTAAGCTTAAAACGTAATGCAATCCAGGTATGTACTAGAAATGCATTGGCTACACTATGCAAAGAAATGTACTTTGTGACATGGCATGCCAAATTTAGTTTTTCCTTGATCAATAGACCGGGTTACAAGATCGTATACTTGGTTCTTTCTTGTACTTTGTGAGGAGCTGTGACATTTGACCTCGCCATTATGAGCAGGCAAGAAGCTTACCAACGGATAAACTACATATTTTTTGTGTCAATCAATGCTGTTATTTACGTTATACAGGTGCGCTCCAACTTGCGTTCTCTTGTGCTGTTTACTTTTCAAATAACAATCATTAATACAAGTTCAATGTGTGAAGGAAGTGATTATATTTGTTTACTTATTTTTCTGCTGAGTCTTTTTCTCAAAGTTTCCTGCTACCATAGCTCTAACACATACTTGAATTTGCAAGTAAAGTTAAAAATGAAGTTTGACTTCAGGTCTGTGTCTGAGTATACCTCTGGATAGATGACAACAGTGTGGTGGAATTCATTGGAAAAATATTTATTGCGGGTAAGTGTCACAGTGAATCATCAGAACAAGTTCACAAGGTTTATCTCTGGGTATTTCTCCTCATTTTTCTTAAAGGAAATTTTATGCATTTTAAGTCCCTTTTTTACTCTGCCACGTATTTCGCTATTCTTTTCTCCAGTGGTGTCATTTATAGCAGCTTTAGGATTCTTGTTATATGGAGGAAGGTAGTTATGGTTTGTTAACACAATATTTATGAATAATTAGAGTTTCAATTTCTATTATGACCAAATCCTACAACTCAAATCCTTCCAGATTGTTTTCATGCTAAGACGATTCCCTATTGAATCAAAAGGAAAAAGGAAGAAGCTTCACGAGGTATTTTCGTTCCTATATAGTTTCTGTTAAGTAACAATTCATTTTTGGTAAGAGTCTGACATAAGTTAAGTTTAACCCACATTTCTATGTGCTAGTGATCACTTGGTCTTTATGATGGCATCATTTTTATAGGATATTCTCAACATTTCTATTGTTTATTTGACGTCTTTTCTGTTTGTAGGTTGGATCCGTTACAGCCATTTGTTTCACCTGCTTCCTTATTAGGTGCTTTGTGGTAAGTTTTTTCTTTCTTGACCGAACTTTATGATAGGTTTTCAAGCTACGTTATTTATTGCTTGGCGGAGAATGTAGCTTTTTAAAACCATTACTTGTTTGATATGTCTCTTGCATATAACTCATACAGAAGTCTCTTTTGTCAACAAATGACTGTCCATTTGATTTTATGTATTGGGGCAAACTAATAATCTGAACTCTCAAGTATTCATGCATTTAGACATGCTACATCCTTCACCTGAGAGGGAACCTCTGAGAGATTTAGTTTTTGGCCTTTTTTTTAAAAAAAAAAAAGTAAAAAACTTTAAACAATATTTTCCAAGGAAAAATACCGTACTTCACCATGAGTTTATTTTTTCTTTGAGTTGAAAGGAAGCTTGAACCTTTCCTGGAGCTTTTATTTTCTTGAATTTCTTGCTAATAATGAGCATACGAGACACGCATATAGATAGTTCCCATTTCACTAAATAATCCCAGGCTGAATAGCTGAATCTCTCCCTAGCCTTCAACATAGATTTTCCTAGCAACAGAGAAATAGAAATTGGTCAAGTTGAATGCTATGAGTAATTTCTGGTTCTCATAAAACAAGTTACATCAGATGTCGACCTTTGACCGAGACTCTTTCAGCTTGACAACTGTTGAACAATAAAATTCTTTCCATCAACCTTTAGAAACATTGACATTAAGTTGCTGATTTCTCGATTTTGTTGCAAAACATTTTTCTTATGCTTTTTTAACTACTTTCTCTGCGTGCAGGTGGTTTTATCTGCCTTTGACGAGGCCGTGTCACTTGATGTTTTGGACCATCCGGTTTTGAACTTGATCTATTACATGGTATTTAACAAATCCATTTTACTAGTTTTACTATTTCTCTCGCTTGTATTCCCCTTAACATTCATTTTTATTGATAAAATTACAGCTGGATGAGATCCTACCTTCAGCCCTAGTGCTGTACATCTTGCGAAAGTTGCCTCCAAAGAGAGTATCCGCTCAATATCAACCAATCCGTTAGGTGAAATGCTGTGTTCGTAGGATTGTTTTCCGGAAGGAAAACACAGAGACGGTTCTGGCATGTCTCAGAGGGTCAGTTACTTTTTCCAGTTGAGTGATGGAAGCAGAACTGGATGGTTC